CTCTTTCCCCACCTATCCTCAATCAACTTTCTACCTTCCTCAACTTTCCCTTCCTTACACAAACCCTTCACCATGATACAAGTACTATAGTTATCCACACATACATGATCACCACCACCTTTCTCCGCCATTTCATCATACACCCGGCGTGCAACATCAACTCTCCGATTCTTTACAAGCACGTTTAGCAATGTATTGCACGCAAAAACATCCGGAACACAATCATACACTTTAACTACAAAACAATAAAAGTCAAGAGCCTTATCAACGAGCCCAGAATCTGCATATGCGCGAATTACAAAACTCAACGCATCAATGGTCGGCTTTACTTCTTCAAATTTCATTTGCTCCATTACCAATTCAATCTCCAAAAGCACTCTAAACCTCGCCAAAAGCTTCAAAAGCGAAGAGTACGCAAACCCATCTGGAGAGCAGCAATAGGGTCGCTTAAAAGCCCAATCAAAGAACTTCAAACCCAATTCTACATCATGTATTCGGTCCAAAACGAAATGGGCAACGTCGGAAACAAGCGTTTCGGTTTCGGAGAATCGGGTTGCAAGAGATTGCTCCCACTGGTCGTCGGCTCTGAGGATTTGGATGGTGTCATTGACTAGCCTCTTGATGTGGGGTGGTGAAGAAGAAGATAAAGAAGCGGGCTTCGGGTTGTGGAGGGGTTTGATGCGAGACAGAAGGGTCTTCGACATGTGAGAGTCTGAACAAGTTTGGAGCTCCTTGAGGGTTTGGAGGTGGTGTTCTCTTGGTATAGAAGAAGATTACAGTAAGAATCAGTGCACGCATTTGCTTGAACAAAAAAAGCGCCAAGTTTGATTTGATTTCCTGGCTTTTTATTTTGAAGGTCCCAAAAACGGTCAAGTCCAGAGTATTCTATTGTCGTTTCGTGCTCTAAACGACGACACCATTTTTACAGTCTTGAGAGTTCAGTAAGTATTTTGTTACCATGAAGTTCATATTTAAGGTAATTTCGGTTTTAGTTTTCCGCTTCTACTCTTTTAGCTAGAGATAGAAGGGAAAGTACTTGAAAAAGAAAATCACTTAAAATTGTTTCCATTTTATGTACCATTTTAAATGTATTTCTTCCATATCTCTCCCTTTCTCTATGATTTGCTTTATCTCTCGCTTCTTGTATATGTTATTTTCTCTATTTCTAACAAAAAAACAAAACAAAATGATTATCAAACGAGCCCTTTAACTTTTTTAAACACTCTCGCCAAACAATGAACCTGCAACTCACGTGGTAAAAAACACTCTCAACAAGCATGGGCTCTTGCTGCCAGTTGACATTTAATAATAACTAAGTAAAAATTAATGAAGGAATTATATTTCCAAAAGAATTATTTCGCAAACCAAACGAGATATGAGACTCAATCCCTTCCTTCTGTTTCCTGGCTGGATGGATTAGTTATACCAAGTCTCAAAACTGCAAAAGTGGTCTTAGATTGGGAAGTTGGTTTTGCTTTCATCTATTGGCATTATCTGTCACTTTTCTTTCCCATCTTCCTAACCCCATTACATACAAGGTAAAGGAGAGGCTATTAAATTATACGAAAGCCTTGTTGAAGGAAGGGTCATTTTGGGGATATTCGAGCTGGGGTTGCTATCAGGCATCACCAATCAAATACTTCTCATTTAGATGAATGTCACCGAAACTCTATGGGTAGCTCTAAGTCAAATCCACAATTTGGAACAAAAACAAATTTATACCAGCAACACGCATTTGTCTAGAAGACAATTTATTTCCAAGAATGGCAAAGGCAAGAACCAACAAGAGAGAGAGCCCTATATCAGTTAATTTACAATTGGAAAGCTCTATCATAGACAAAATGCTACTTAACTTCCTAGGCAGCGCCAGTACTTAAGAATCGAGGTTGAGCAGTCAATAACAAGCCTGTTCTCACCTATCGAGAGTGGTGGTTAATGGTTAAACCATCTGAAACTGCAGAGCAATCACTAAAACTCCTCCGACACAAGAATTCCAAGAGCTGAAGAAAGATCTGCTATCTAAGCAAAGGAAACACACCACAATAACTTAGGCAGGACAAGCTCCAGCTCATGATGCAGCAACTCAACTTCTTCTTTTTGCCTCCAAATGTACCAAATGAAGCATAATGAATCAACTCCCACCTTGGTGCGTTCCACTTTCCCTTGCCACAGAACAGTTTAAGCCAACATTCTGATCAGAGACATAATCCAATATACCTTAAAATATAAAGAAACACATCTAGCAATCACTTTGCTGCTGAAGAACTGTTACACATGTGACATCAATTCTCAACCAAATGACCCCCCCAATAATATTCACTTTAACCAGCTGTTCATACAGACTGAGACACACAAATGTACGCACATACACACCCCACCAAATCAGAAAGGCAAGGAAAGCAATATATGAAAGACATTTTTTTTTTGGTCAAAAATATATCAAAGACACACAACAAAAGAAAGAGCACACACACACACACACACAACTACACCAGATAAAAAAAAGAGTCAAGCTATCTATAATGAAAGGAAGTTCTTGACGTTGGGCCCACTGACAGATTTATTATCCTTACCTGAAGAAAGTGCACCTTGAGGCAGGGAGGAAGAAGATGTTTGAGGATTTTCTGTAAAATATAGCTGAATAAATATTTGATTATATTGTAGGAAGGTGAGAAAAACATTATACTGATACCAAATCAGAATTTATATGCAAAGAAAGTCTATCCAATTAGCCCTGCAAGTTATTATTTATGAGATTATTTATTTATTTTTTATGGGTTTCTTATGAAGAAATATCTCAAAAGGAACATCACGTTATGCTTTCATCAGGTTCCTCCTCCTTTTTCTTTTTCAAATAAGTTTTTACCCTGTTCCTCCCATGAAAGACAGGCTAAATGATATGGTTAACCTTTTAAAACACTCAACAATACAGGTATATCTTTTACTAGAGAGTAACCTAAAAGTGTGCATTAGAGCTTGGATAGGAGGACTTCAGAAATTTCCTAAAGCCAAATAGCGATACGAGAACAAAAACATCTCAAGCAAAAAAGGCCCCATTCATAAGAATAAAAGCTCTAGTTCTTCTGGAGAACCATGGACTGCAGACGTATAAACTAAGTTGTTTAAATAAGTACCGCAACTGAATCCTCTCTTCATTTGTTGATATCTTTTTTTTTTTTTCTGGAACTGACACTCGATCTTTTCACAATCCAGATTTCAGTCCATCTAACAAGAGATATATACACTATCAGTCCCCAGAAGAAAAAAGAAAGTAAAGGCAAACACTAGCTGTGTGCTGACCTCAAACTACATGAAAACCATGCATGGGGACACATAGACAAACTTTAAATTAGCATAGATATTCATTAGTGTGTAAGCAACATTTGACCCAGTATATGTTCATTAGTGTGTACATATCATATACAAATGTGCATATCCTATTCTCTATCTTCCTCATTTAGAGTACACTGCAGCAACCCCCCAGTCACATCAGATAACTTATCATTTTGCTCATGTATGCCTAAACATTACCTACCATCCATTCAGCATGTACTTTGTTAATCATCAAAAGGTTTTGTATATACATTCTGTTAAAGAATAATCCCTATATGTTACTCACCTTACTTGAGGTCCATTAAAGAAATTGGGTAAAATCGTCAAGAAGATCTGGCAAGTTTGAGACATAAGAACACCATTCCCAATTTTGCAGAGTTAGTTGTTTAAAACCACCACAGCTACTAATTATGACCAACTAATTGTCAAGCATCCAATGTCTATAAACTAACCATCACTCTGACCATCGGCCATCTTATATCTTTATGTGTTACTTTTAAATAACAAGTTTCGTACTTGTAAGGTCTTTAATTATAATAAAAGGAATTTGATTTAAATGGATGCAATACTAATAAATAAATAAATAAACACTTGTTTCATCATTATTCAAATTATTTGAAATTACCGAAATAAGCATTTAATGATATCTAATAGGTAGGACTTTGCCATTATTCCCTGACCCTTCTGCTCTGCACCACCAAAGCTGAAAGCATTGAACAAACAATCAAAATCATAGAAGCTAATGACCCAACAGTTGAAAAGAAGAGCTGACTACAGCATTAGAGGGGAGCCGTTGCAGAATGAACTTACAACAAATTTGGGTGATAGCTGTCCATTCAGAACTCCATTTAAATTGAGGTGGTACTACAAATTATTGAAGAAATGAGGATGTCCCTTTCGTATGATTAAAAAAATTCATGTCAATTGTTCTGCAAATTTACAAATGAGTGGGGCAAAAAGATACCAGCTCTTGTTGAGCTGTCCAGTTTACATAATCTACCACTTTTCAGTTTTCCAGTCCCTCATCTTAATTCAACTCTTGTTCAGTATGGTTTGTAAATCCCCCACTTGTTTTGAAGAAAATGGAGGCACCCTTTTCCGAACCAACATCATGATTGCCTTAGCCTTACCAAGCTGCTTGCCCCTCTTTAGGCCTTCAAGCAATGTATGAATGGTATCCACATTCGGATACCAATTCTTTTGCATGCAGTCTTTACACATAGTATATGCCAAATCAAAATCCCCTCCTTTACAAAGATAATGAATCATGGTCTGATAAATTTTGATATTTGGCTTGTATCCCTTTCCATGTAGAGCAGAATACACCCTTTTGGCCATTTCAAGATACCCGGCCTGGAAAAACCCTTTGATCACCAAATTATATGTGACCTCATCAGGTGTTATCCCAACATTCTGCATCAAACCCATCAATTTGTTAGCTTCCCATGCTCGTCTTCTGTTAACCAAATACTGGATTCTAACATTGAAAGTTGCAAGATTAGGCAAACACCTCTTCAGCACCATAAGATTCCACAAACCATTACCAATCTCGCACCAGTTTTCCTTATAAAATGCTGACATCAGTGTGGTATATGTAATGACATCTGGTCTTATTCCCAACTTTTCCATCTCTACCATGATCCGATATGCTTTAACCAAAATTCCCATTTCACAAAAAGCCTTGATAAGAATATTAACCGAAAATACGTCCACTTCAATGTCAAACTTTTGTGGAACCTCGTTCAGAAATGCCTCAATGGCTCCTAAATCACGGGTTTGAGTCAAAACTTTGAGTGCAGCGTTGAAGGATTTAACAGTCCTACAACAACCATATAAATGCATATCACAAAAAGTATCAATAGCATGCTTAGTCATCCCAGCCTTACCATACAATGTTATAATCCTCATAATGAACCCTTCTCGCCGACCTTGAGGAAGAGTCTTCTGATGCTCAAGCAAATGTTCAATGTAATCAAACCTTCGAGCTCCAGCTAGCCTAGACACCGTATCTTCGAATGCAAATCGGTTCTCAATGACAAGCGTATTGTGAGCGTTGGCCTTAAACAGGTGGAATAGCTTTTCGGGGTCTCTCTCGGCTTTAAGCTTAACGAGGGCAGGTTCTTCCAAAGGTTTTGTATCAAAAACGTGATTTGACACAGCTGCAGGACAACCGTTCGAAGTTATGGCAATGGCGGCATGACAAAATCTGCGACTGGTTCGCAGAGAGAGCATGTTTTAGGAGCTTCCTCAGATTGATGCATACCCATCCATCAATATCAAGATTCTACACAAACCATTATGAATATATATCCACTGCCCACTTCACAAGTTGAACAAAACCCAGAAATTAGAACACCCAATGACTAAAACCAGAGACTTTATCATATATTGTTCTTCAAATTTCTCAAACTAGAACACGCCAATTAGCTAAAATCAAGATTTAGGCACCAACCTGAGAGAAGCTTCAATGCCCATGTGCCAAAACAAAGACCCAGAAACGTGAACTACAATCAAATTAAATTAACAGAAGAAATAGAGGCATACAAGTATGTTCTTAGATTGGTGGAGACTGCGAATGAAGGGTTGGATAATAGCTGATTGAGCGAAGGAAGATTTATAACAGAGAGAGCGAGGAGTTTTAGCATTGTGGATCTAAGCGGAAGCTCTGTGGGGTTTTTGGGGGTTTTAGTTAGGTTTACTTTGTGGACTGTGATGGCACAGCGTGCAGGTCCATGGTAAGGAAGCATGGACTGCTGAAATACATTTTGAGGGGACTGGTTAAAGGATCAATTTTTTTTTTTTTTTTTTTTGGGGATTTAGTCTATGTTTCAAAGAATGGACAGGAAAATTATTATTGGAAAAAAGGAAAATACTTTTCAATACCGTGATAAAACTAAAATTTATTTTATATATTGATACTAAAAACACTGTTTATACATTGCATTTGTATTTCCAATGGTAAAATGCCTGGATGCTTTATCAAATCCTTGTTACATATTTATGTCGCACATGTTGTCTGATAATTGGAAGCAAGTAACTCAAAAGATTGCTCGCTTTTATATATATTATACAAGTAATATTGCAGAAAGAATTACCGTTGCAAGACGGCTTTTAATTACTTTAGCTACAATCCCCTTGCAAGATGGCTCGCTTTATTATACGTTGTGGAACTAACCTTTTTTGGTTGGAGGAGGGTTGTGAGAAAGAATCAGACTTAAACTTTCGCGCATAGTATAGCACACTGGTTATATAACATTGGTAAATTAGTAACAGGACAGGGTAGTGTTACAGTCTTGCTGAAAAATTACTCCGTATATGGGGCGTGTAGACAGTAAGGTTTGAACGGCCAAGTTCTCAGCAAAATTTTGGTTCAACAAAGGAGAAACTTTAAATAAAAATTAAAACATTAACCAACTAATCTGCTGTCATCTGTCATATAAAAATGTAGCATACAATAAGAAATTTAGCAGATGCGAAGGGGAGGATGAGAACTTCTGGCAATTGACAGAACGGTTCTTTTTCTGATTGACCACCCCCGGAGTTTGCTTCAGTTAGTCCTTTGATGTTATAACAAGCAACCCCAATGCGCCAATTAGAATATACTGAACAAAAGAAACAGAAGGGATTACTTCCTGATATGAATAAAATCATCTGTCTGTGCATGTTTTCTGAAACTTTTCTGGGGGAGAAACAAACCTTAATAATAGGCTTTTCAGTCATGATAATTGTTACCCAGCCAACATAAGGTAAAAACCTGAAAATGATTACTAAGTGATTAAATCTGTGATAAGAGGCATGCAACTTACTTCTCTTTGTAAGAAAAAGGGAACAGGAAAAACAGTATTTTGTTTCTCAAATAATTTTGGATGGCTCCATTTTCAGTGCACTGGAACAACCAAAAGTTGAATTACGAGGGGTAGATAATTCAGTAGAGAAAAGAAAGAAAAAAAGCTTAAAACTATAGCTCGAAATTTTGTCCCAGCAGCACAATACGAAAGTTGCCGATGTTCAATACGTGGAAAATACCCAAAAATAAAATGGAGGCAATACTCTTATTTTCTTTTTTCATATGAAACGAAAAAGGAGGCAATGCTTAGAGTTGTTACCCCACAGCTCTACCCATGATATGATGCCGTTGAAGCCACAGCTGACCATGAGCATACAGAAGCCTGTCATCTCCATAATTGTTATCTCCTGAGGACACAACATAGATTTGGGGTGAACACTTGAGTAAAGAAGCCATGTAGCAGGAAACAAACATAACTATCAGCAGCATGTTTTGAAACAGAAGAAATAATGAGGTAAGAGCAAAAATATGAAGTATGACACATCTTGGGAGAGTTTAATTGATCAAGACTTGAGGGATTATATCACGCAAAACAACTATTTACATATACACCAGAAACTGGTACCTTTTGTAAGGACATCAACTTCTCCAGTATCTTCTCGTTCATGAACCTGCAAAAACAATTGATGATTACTGCTCACTGGACCCCAGGTGATTTTAATGAACTGATTCTGAAAAAAGAAAAAGGAAGAGGCTAAATCTACATCAGGCATGTGAACCTTACTCCTTATTTAGTATGGTCCTTTCGAGAACATCACGATCTCTTTTATGTTCCTCTCCAACTAACCTAATAGGTCCAAGGTGTATGTCATGAAAGAATGATAACATTACTATCCTTTAAACCATAATGTGGTGCAGGAATAACCTAATCTGTGAGTATAATTTTGATTCTTTTGATCCTACATAATTTTTCCTGCAGATACAATATCAAATGCTTATAGACAGATGCCTGAACCTTGTCCACAAAATCTGATTAGAGTCCTATATTCTCCTCCATAATTCATTATTCCTTTCATGAAGCTCAAAGATAAAACTCAGCACCACCTCATTTCAAAGGCCAAAAGTCAACATGATTTAGCAACATCAAAAGGTCTATTATTTACCTTAATGACACGATGGACAATTGGAATTTCACGGCCCTGGAGAAAATTGACAAAGGAAAGGAGGACATATTAGCATGTACTTCTCCATAAGGAGAATACATCACCAGCAAATAGTGGCACTCTACTAATTCCTACATCACATTATTGACAAGATGCATACTGAATCAATAAATAAATAATTTTTATTTATTTATTTATTTTTTAAAAGTGCTACTAGTTACTACCTAACAGAACACACAGCTTCCATTCACATATTAATTAGAATGTTGGGAAAGAAATTATTAGAAAGAAGAAAATTCCAATATTTGTTCTTGAGATTACAACTGAAAACTTTCGGCCCTTTGTACAAATACTTATGGGTTCCAATGAAAGTTCCCAATTACAGCTCTCACAGGCCCTAAAAACATGCTAGTTGACTAAATAGGAAAACAATGTATATTGCAACCCTCAAATGGTTTAAATGCCAGAGGATTGGGATTTATTTTTAAAGAAGAGTGGGTTGTACGGTAATTCATCATCATACAAAAACAACAAAGACTGAAAAATGTTCAAATCCATCACGAAATAATGTCTCACTAGTATATACTCTTTATCATCACAAGTTCACAACACAATAAGCCAAAATGCAAGACATGGAGATTATTAAAATGTATTTAGGAAAGAAATCAGAACGAATACTGAAACAAGCCTGACAATTACCAAACATTAAAAGATAAATTTACAATATAACAGAGTGAAAAATAAATAAAGGCACTTACATCAACATTAAAAACAACAATTTCTCCTGCACGAATGGGCTCTTTACTCATGTGCAAGAACAAAATATCCCCCTGCAAAACATATTCATTCTTATAATTAGTTCAGCGGCCAAAGAAACATATATATATAGATTGAGAAACGACATTGCTAAAGAGATAAATCCAGGTACAACAAAGAGGAGTATCAAGAATTGTTTTCTCAAAGAAAGATACAGTAACATAAGAGAAGGGAGAACTTTTCTTCTCTCTTCTATCAATATGTAGAGCCTGCACAACCCTTCTTTTATGATAAAAGTATAAATTAGACAAAGTGAATTAAACTAATAACTAAGACAAATCAAAAGGCATGACAAAACTACTTTGATCAAAATATTATTTGGTACTAAACCATTGAAGCCTTCATGCACTATTCTATCTCACCCTCTTGAAACCGGGTTCCATACTTCCGGACAAAACAACAACAACAGGAGATTCACTGCCGGTAACGCACATCAATGCCTTCCATATTATAAGAGCAGATGTAACAATCATACCTGAAACAGAAATCAGACAACACCCACTTAAGTGTTTGCAGACAAGATATGAAACCACAACAATGATCACTCTTCCAAAATCCAAGTATGATAAAGGAGTGCGATTTCGAAATTGACTACTAAGTCATAAAATTTCAACACCAAATGAAAAAGAAGAAGAAGCACATCTTAAATTTAAATCAGCAGCCACAAATTAGAACCACTACCAAGTAACCAAATTAGCATTAGTTAATCAAATAAAGTCCCCAAACAATTCATTCACATTATTTATTTTTTTAATAATACCCTATAATTATCACTAAGCTCATTAAAGTTTCAAGTTTTACTCTCCAAAACCGCCTGGAGGAAAAACAATGAAAAGTAAACGTTGAAAACATCACATTTTGATGCCTACCCACATTTTCTCATTACCCAAATAGATAATAGAAAGTATAAATTCCTAAGAATACGACCCAGAACGAGTAAAATAGAGAGAGGGAAACAGTGGGTTTAAGGGTTTTCGAACCGAGACTGACGGCCTGGGTGAGGACCTGCCGGATCTGAAGGGATTTGATAGAGTCCACGGTCTCACCGATCCAATCCATTTCTTCTCTCTCTTTGCCTCTTACCACCTCCTCCTCCTCCTTCTTCTTCTTCTCCCTTTTGCTTGTCTGAGAGAACTACAATAGGCCGTACTAAAAGGGCCGTTTCTTCGTGTTCTTCAGAAGCCGTTTCTTTTATTTTGTTCTCTGTTATTGTTTAATTTTTTCTTTTAAAAAAACAATTTAACAAGTTATTTTTGTTCTGCAGCAAAAAAGAAAACTAAATTTTATTTGTGAAGGAAAATAAATTTATTATGGGAAAATAAGTATACAAAAAATTATATTTTCATAAGGGAAGTCACTAAATGGAATGAAAAGATTTTACCCAATGAAGACGTACCATATCAGCAAAATGACGTAGCAAGCTTTACACATATACTCTCTGCCTTCTGTGGACCAAATGACATGTTGCTCAAATTAGGTGAAGTAGTCCCACATGACATGTTGCTCAAAAGTTTCATTATAAATAGGTGATACTACATTGTGTGACAAGTTCATATTTCAATTATATCGATTTTTCTTTGGTGTTAGAGTTTTAAATTGCTTCTGAATCTCCTTCTTTGATATTACGGATCATCATACCCATTTTCATTATCTTCTTCTTATGCCTAATATTTTCAGCAAAGGCTTCTTATTACTAGTCTTTTCAATTTAGGCAGCAACGGCAACGTGGTATCTATGCCAGCTTGAAGAAGAGGTCTCATGCACTAAAATCCCATCAAAACTCTTTACAATTCACGGCCTTTGGCCAAGTCTAAATTTGGAAAAACTCATACCCGAAAAGTGCGTCAGTAGCATACTGATGCCGCTTTTAAGATGGACAAGGTGTTGTACATATAATTTTTATTCTCATTTTAGTGTTACAAAATTTATTTTTCATAATGCACAGATGCAGAATTGGTCATCTGACTTGATAAAAATCTTGGCCAATGGTGCTTTTTCCGACAGATATATGAACGATTTTAGGCTCACCAGTGGAATAAATATGGAAAGTGTACAAAATTCAACCAGTCCTTAAATCCTTACAGAAGGTATAAGGTTAGTAAAATCTTTGAGAATGCCAAGTTTGAGCCGAACAAGAAGTTTGGTGAAATTGAAACTGCCAGTATAGAGAAACACCTACTCAAGCACAACTCCTAATTAAGCGCGATAAGAACAGCCGATTACTTGGTTGAAGTGATTCTATGCTTTGACTCCGACGGAACAACATTTACAAATTGTAGAACTAATAATTCCAGGTGCCTAACTGATAAAATCATTTATTAAGATATGATATATTATGATAGTGTTTTTTTTTAAAAAAAAATAGACCAATTACTCTTTCTTTTGCCATTATTTAAATAGACCAATTGCGCTATTAATAAAAAATAATAATAATAAATTGAAACATCCAATATTATATTATATATGTCTCATGTATTCTCTGGCAATGGGTCAGACATATTTTAATTAAACTGGTGAACGGACGTATCAGGGAAGCCCCTCCTCACTTAAAAGGGTCTGAAGCAGGGAAGAAAAGCTTTTCGAGCCTCTTGGTCCTCCCACTCTAAGCCATTCCACCACTCTTCCTGTCCTTCAATAATGAGATTACTTGTTTGAGCACTGCTAGAGTTGAGAGGCAGTCTAGTGAGCACTGGACAACCAGATATATGGATTTCCTTCAGAAATGGAACGGGCAAGGGATTTTCGCATATTCTCCACAACTGGGGTAGTGCGCTCAAACGCAAAACAGTGAGTTTTGCAAATGGGGTAGTTTCCGTTGTGTCCAAACCGAGTATTCTCGTCATTTTAGAGCAGCCATATACCTCCAAGTGGATGAGATTTGGAGCAAAAACTAGCCATTCCAGGTTCTTGAGATTCGTGCAATTTACTACTACTACGAATTGAAGACCAAGGAAGCAATTCGGATTTTCCAGACGTGTTATTGACGTAGAGTACACATCCACCGTACGTTTAATTAGAAGGGTATCAAGGTATTTCATATTTGCCATCGCCACATCTGATAAATCAAGATAGCTTGAAGGGTTCTCACCCATGAGGCATAAAGTTAGAGTGCAAGTCACTAATATGTGGTGGCTGTCCAAATTCAGGAAACAAGAGGTATCTCCTACTGTCAAAGACAAGACGTCAAGGTGTTTCAAACCCTGCAGTTCGTCTATCATGGTTTTCTCATTATAAAAAAAAACTCGGTTAGAAGAACCACAATATAGTATTCTCAAAACTTTAAGCCTCGGGAAATTTGATAATATATTTGGTGGAACATAATCAAGATCATATGTATACTCTAAGTTCAAATGCTTTAGGCGTGCACATGCTGCTAACTCCACCGGCAACCGTTTTATGCCTGTTTTGGACAAATTCAGATGTTGTAATGAAACTAGATTTGCAACTCCAGTTGGTAGTTGAGTTATAAAGTTATTTTCAGACAAATCCAGAACTCGTAGCGTAGGCATGAAATCAAAGAAGTCATCCACAATCCTCTTTAAAAATCTTCCTCTGAGAAATAAGGTCAACAGATTGGGAGATCTTGGTGTTTCATCTAGAGATTTGATACCACTACCCATCAATGAAACCCTTTTCGCGTTCCACCATTTCGCAACATGTGGTGCATGATATGCACCTGTATCCACAAGGATGTTCTCGCCTTCTTTCCAAGCTAACCACAATGCCATGTCACGAATTACATCATGCATTTTTACTGAATCTCCTTCATCTTCCAACAAACATGAGGCAAGAAGAGTTCCTATGATATGGTAACTCTCATTTTTGGCTTCCTCTACATTACCATATTCATCTAATATATCCTCCTCACACATCCAAAAATATACCAAGTCATCTTTAAGTATAACAAAATCTTCCGGAAATAGAGCACAATATAAGAAACATGATCTAACTTTCTGACTTGGTAAATTATCGTAACTGAATTTTAAAAGAGGGAATACCTTATCTCCCATTCCTGAAAACTCGGAGGCAACTCTTCTCAGGACTTGAACTGCATGCTTCCACTCCTGGGGTGTTTTCTTGCAGGCCATGACCCTGCCTACTGTGATGAGTGCCAGTGGCAAACCACCACACTCCTTCGCCACAATTTCAGCATGCTCGGGGATATCTGGATGAAGAAGAAGTGTTTCTTTCCCAACCTTCTCCTGAAACAAGTTCCATGCTTTTTCCCAAGTCAAACACCCCACCTTAATCTTCTTCTGGGCATCCATCTGACCACATACCTCCTCAGAGCGAGTTGTGAAAACTATCTTGAACTTGTTTCGACTGTCAGGAGCTGGAACCCCTACTTCGGTTAATTCAACTGGCTCCCATAAATCATCCATTAATAACACAAACTTCTTTGTGTTCAAGATTCCGAAGATGTCTTTAGCTTTTTCACGCTGCTCTTTATGCTTCCATTCACCACTAGACAGCCCAATCTTTTCACCAATCTTATCTTGAATAACTTCAATTTTGTGGCCCTTGGATACCACAATCCATATCACAAGATTGAAATCATTACGAGTGCGGTTGAAATTGTTATGAATCTGGGTAAGGAGGGTGGTCTTCCCCACCCCTCCCATTCCATATAAGCCAATCATTCCCACTTGTTCATCTTCAACGTGACTCCAAACCTGATCAAAAATCGGCTCCATGCCCACTGTTGGCTCACTAGGTATCACATCGACTAGAGCTGTAGGTAAGCTTTCTGCTACCACCTCTTCAAAAACTCCCTTGCTTTTCAAAGCCTCCACTTCCACCAACTTTCTAGCAACTTTTTTTCCATACTTGTAGCTAGATCTGCAGTTCTTGGAGCAATAACCTCCGCAGCATAATTTCTCAATTTCTTGCGTGCTATGGCTTATAATAACTTCGTTAATTTCAGTCTCAAGAGCCTCCGCTCTTAAAATCCAGTTATTTACCTGCTTTAACCGCTTTAATCCCGGCTGCCGCTCTGCAAGCTCAACCTTTCTTTGCACATCATCCTTTAAAGCCTTGAGTTCTTGTAAAGAAGTTGAGAGAGCTTGAAGGTTTTCTTGGAGGTTACGTACATACCGTACTCTTTCAAAAACGGAATCCCAGCAGCGTGAAACAATGTCATCGCATGATAAGGAGATTGACAAGCAGCTACCCATTGCTTTGCTTGCTCTGCGCACAAGATTGTAAGAGAAATTCACCAAAGATTTCTTAATCTTTCTAACAATAATTCACTTCCAGGCTGTAAGTCAACTATGGCGTTTTAGAAGGTGGCGTGGGAGCTTTTATATTGTCTGGCTGCTGCGTAGAAACAGGAAGACTTTAGCCATTGCTTTACTTTACAGGCTGTAAGGTAACGTGGAAGCTTATATATATATATATATATAAAAAAGGTCAAATTTTCTATACGATTCAAAGCTTTCCAAAACCAATCTGAGTCTGACTATATTGCAGAATTGGAACGTTCCGGTTGCTGGTTTTGGTGGGAGTGGGTATCGTTTTCTTTGGTTGGCTTTCGGGGTCTTCTGCTCCTGCGCAAATCTTTGAGCTGGTTTCTTATTATTTATTTTTATTTCTTATTATTATTTGGTTGATCCCCTGTTGCCTCGGTGCCCTTTTTTTTTTTTTGGTTGGTATTTCTGGGCTGGGGCCTTTTGGTTTTGTAATTTCGGCTTCTCGGTTTAGCCTTGGGCCAATAGGCTGAATTTTTATTTTTATTTTTTCCTTCTAGATTTTTAATATATATGTATCCATTTTTAATGAAAGAAAAGTCAGACTTAAAAGAACTTTTCTATATCACACGCCCTTTGTAGACATTTGATGAGAAAAATAGATGAATGACATTCAATATTTCCAAATGTGGGCTCCACTCAAAGACTTTACAACAATTTTCAGGGCCGGCCCTGAGGGCGACGGCCATGGCCCTCCAATTATAGAAAAACAAACAGATTGAGGCGCAGTCAAAAACCTTTGCATTCAGTAAAGTTTTGAACTTTCGATATTTTTAACGTACTTTTACTGGTAAGCAAAGCTACACTATACTAGAGATGACGGAATAATTGAAAAAGAAAATTTTGCTGTTCTGCTACCACGGAAACACCAACCATTCCTCATTACTGATTTTCTACAAATTTACCAACTGGAATTAACTAGAGTCTAACACAACAGCAAACACATACGGTAGGTTTTGAGCAGCCACAAATCAGATTCATACACACACAACCAAGAACACACAAAGCTAAGGAGCATTCTCTGAGAGTTACTTGCAAATAACATTTTCAAGTCAGTTCACACTACACGAACCAATTTTCTGCTAGTTACATCCATTTGACACACCACACTTGTAAAAAGAAAACACGTCTTTACAAAAGCAAAGTAACGACTGAAATCCCTAAACTTAATCAGCACTCCGCTTTGCTTGATAAGCCATGTACAAGGGGGGATATCTTCAATCCAATCAGCATAGATGCGACTCATTTTCTCGAGTTCGTTCCACTTGAAGTTGCATTCCATACCCTGCACTTGTTTATGATAAGTAGCCCCAATTCCCATCCTAAGTTTTGACATACTTGTAGAAGAAGTCCTCGAATTCTTCACACTTCTAGATTCCACTGCCATATAGCCACAAGGCTTCATTAGTTCTGTAAAACAATGATACGACTCAGAGTTTAGTTTTCTGAGAATCATTGCACATCCCACAATATTGAGCATCTCTTAGTCAATCAAAAGGGACATTGATGAATGTGAACAATCAGCAATTCATGACTCTGCAGGATATCATAACGGCTTACCTGCTCTAACCGCTTAAAATCCAGTTACTTACCTGCTCTAACCGCTTTAATCGCGGCTGCCGCTCTGCAAGCTCAACCTTTCTTTGCACATCATCCTCTAAAGCCTTGAGTTCTTGTAAATAAGTTGAGAGAGCTTGAAGGTTTTCTTGGAGCTTACGTACATACGGTTCTCTTCCAAAAACGGAATCCCAGCAGCGTGAAACAATGTCATCGCATGATAAGTTGATTGACACAACGCTACCCATTGCTTTGCTTGCTCCACCGCTCTGCGCACAAGATTGTAAGAGAAATTCACCAAGGATTTCTTAATCTTTCTAACAATAATTCACTTACGGGAATACTTTAGCCATTGCTTTACTTTACAGGCTGCAAGGTAACGTGGGAGCTTTTATATTGTGTGGCTGCAGTGTAGGTGTAGCCTGTACAGCTGTAAATTAAATAGTATTAGTTTATGGCGAGAGAGTAATTAAATACTTTACAACACTTTTATCATGATGTTCTTCATTATTTCCAAATGCGGGCTCCACTCAAAGACTTTACAACAATTTTCATGATGTTCTTCATTACTTCGTTGTTTTTGCCTTTGCTCCGGAAGTGGTGACGTTGGTTTTGGTGGGTTAGCATGATTATTTTACTTCTTTGTTTTTGCCATTTCCTCTACCCAAAGCATTTTGCCCATCACATCTCCACGCCTCTGCTCTGCAGCACAAATATTTTTTTTAATGTTTCCCATTTATATTTGTTCTTCCCTCCTCCCTTTTTCTCTCACTGATTTTCTTCCTCTCAACCCTTCATGATTTGGGAAACCAAAGGGTCTGTAGAGATTTTGACCCCAATATAGCTGGTATTCTTTTTGCCACAAATAATCTCCAATTGCAAGACCCCAAAGCTATAGCCATTAGATTTTTCGGAAAACATCCCGTCCATGGCATACTTCGGAGGCATATAGCCACTGCACAATCAATTGAGAACTGACGAAATTGCTTCTTTGTTTATTATCTTGAGAAAAATTATACTAGAAAAGTTAAATCTAAATGTCATGCAATGCAACTAATTTTTAATTAATTATGAACACAAACAGAAGGGAATTAAGGGGGCGTTTGGCACGGAACTAGCGCCTAGAGGAGTAATTGGAGCCTATGCGAGTGCCTATGTTTTTTGTAAATAAATTATTTAGTATTATAAATTATAAATTTATACCAAAATCCTGAAAAAACAAAAGGATATATAAATTTTATATTAAACAAATAGTATAATATTTTTTTGATTTAAAATATTAAAATATTAATTTGTTATTTGTTACTTATTAGTGGTTACTTTAGTGATTTCATAATGCAAAATCCATTTAGTGTTGTATTTTTTGAAGCCCAGGCCTTCTCTCTTGCCTAGGCCTTCTCTCGTCTTCTTCAATCTCATCGTCGTCTCTCTCTCTCGCCTCATACACTCCCAATAATCTTATTAGATATTCTTCTGAGTTCTGGGTGGTACAGCAACAAAAGCTTTAATGAAAGGCATATAAACATGGAAGAAAGAGACAATGATGAAGAAGGTAAGATTTTGTGAAGATTTTGTGAGTTCACCAATGATTTCTGCAAGCTGAGCAGGTCAATTCCAAGTTGCAGATGATTTCATTGCAAGATGAGCAGGTCAATTCCAAGTTCTTGGTTATCTGCAATTTTGAAGTTGTTTCATATTCGGTCTTATTGAATTTGTGAACAACTCTGTCCAGGTACCTATATCACACAACATTTACTGGAGGAGTTATTGATGCTTGTGTATGTCTCGGTGGCTTTTCTTATTGTTCACATTGTTATTTTACTATGTAGTTCTATATAACTAAATATGCTTTTCAAAAGATAAGATCATCACTAAAAATGTAGTCAAGTTCGATCTTTCTAATTCCTCTGCATTTGCAGGGGAGTGCACTATTGCTTTGAATTTTGTTATTGAATGAATTTATCTGAATCTTTATGCAGACATCACTAGTAATGTGGTCAAGTTCGATCTGTTAGGTTTGCTATGGTCACACATTACAACAAAAGCATGATTACTCATATGAATGCCCTAAGAACCATGAAATGAAATTATAAAGCTATCCGGAGGACTATAAGCTGATTATGGGTGCACTTGGATTGAAATTAAGCTTTAGAATCGGGTTTTCTAGTTTTAAAAAGAAATAGTGTAGCCGGGCGGCTATACTCGATTTCTCAAATTTATTTAAAGCATACGGCTATTCTCGGTTTTCCTAATTTTTTTTTAAAATAAATAGTATTGCTGCGAGACTAAACCAAAAAAAACCAATCACAATCAATCACTAACCTGAGAAGAAGATTTCATGATCTTCCCTCTCTTGGCAAATTCCAAAACAGCTCCATGAAAGTAGCGTTAATTAATCATGATATTGACAGATCTGCATACCATTGGCAAGGACAATGTCTCTATAAAAGAAGACATTTTCTGATTACCCAAAAAAAGAGAAGACAATAGAATGAAATTCTATATGCTCTTAATATGGAAATGAGACAAAAAATAATGAAATTGATCAGTCAAACAGGACAAGTATCCTTGGACACACCAAATGCAATTCAATTTGTGCTCTCGATGTGCAGAATGCTGCTTAAACGCACAGAAAGACAATGTGGGAAAATGAGAAAATGAAGCTCACTTTTATAATATGCATTCCCAAGAGCACTTCATTCCTCCCAATTTAAGTTTTCTTCTGCAACAATAAACGATGAAATTGCAAGATCATATCAGAATATGTGGCCACTCAGATGTATATTGTATCAAACTATAAGTTCTAGCTAGACAAAGATATCAATTCAAAAGTCAGCCTTAGTGGCAACTAGGGAAATCTCAGTTGTACGTATGAAACTATATGTGCTAGGGGCAATGTTTTCAAAGGCGAGGCGTAGAAGCGATGCATTTTTAGTTGCGCTTTGCGAGGCGTAAAGTCGAAACATTGAAGCGTATGCCTTTTGAACGTTAATTTATTAATAACAAAAATTTATAAATAATACAATACAACTAAATTGTAGTACTAATTCGTATTAAACCATAATAATCTATCAATTACAAGTACTAAGTCTCATTTAAGCATAATAATTATACAAATTTATAAATAAACCCAATCCTAGATATGTATTTATAAAAAAACCCAAGCACTATTTAAACATAGAAACACACCCAAAATCAACCCCAAAGTCAATTTTTTGGGTGTGTTTATAAATGGGTTTTGAGTGTGTATAATGATGGGTTTTGGGTGTGTTTATATGTTTAAATAGTGCTTGGGTTTTTTTTATAATTTCAACCCCCATTTTGGATGTTTTAGTGAAACTCCCTAATAATTAATCCTCAAACATAATATTAGGGTTATAGTATATATAGGTCCATGTTAAAATATTTATAATTTAAAAAATAATAATTTATTTATAAAAAGACAAAAGACTAAAGGTGAGCACAACATTGGGGGAGTCAAACAAAAAAAAACATTTAAAAAACGTGCAACTGACAATATCAATAATGAGGTGAAAATGGAGATTGGGAGTTTTGAATCCTAAAGCAACTGACAATATCACCAACCTAAGTCTGTGAAAAATACGAGATACATGTACATGACAGTCCTGCTTTATATGCAAACTAAATGTATAATTTTAAAGTACAAAATTCCAACTTTTGGTTCAATTTTAAAATAGGTTTTAACTTACATTACTTCATATACAGATCCAAGTACATACATGAGAACTATAACCGGAGCTTGTGAGAAGTTCACTTCCAGATCTAAGTACATACAAAACAAGACAATTGCATTTGACCAAGAAGCTTTGTTAAGAGTACATTTGGATACCCCCAAATTGACCAAGAATCTTTGTTAAGAGTTCATTTGGATAGGGGCAGCAAGTTGAACTGGGAAACAGAAGCCTAAAAGGTTCCTTTTGTGAAAAGTGAAAGGACAAATTTTGATTCCCATGGTCAGCAAGTCTGTGATTCTGATAGGGTGGTGATCATCTTCACTGTTAATGAGCTGGCTCTATTTTATAAGCGACCCATGTACAGTAAAGGAGACGCTTCTATTGAAATTGAAAGATGTTTAGAAGTTCTCTAATGTGGAACCAATTTTTCGGTTTTCCCAAAATTTTTATAGAATTAGTATAGCCACGCGACTGTACTATTTTAAAAAACAATAAAAAAACTGAGTATAGCCGCTGCTCAGCTATGCTATTTACATATAAAAAAAGAGACCCGCCTCGTGAGCAGGGGCCATGAGTCAAAATAGGTATAGCCGGGCAGCTATTATATTTTTTAATCATTAATAAAATCGAGTAAGGCCGAACGGCTATACTGTTTTTCGAAAATGATTTTAGAAAATTATAACGCAATACATGAAAAATGGAATAAGACATAGGATTTTATATGATACAATAATATATAATCACAATCGCCATACAATCATGGATCATAAGTTAAATTGGGGCTTGACATTTATTAACGAGTATACAAGGGAAGGTAGGAATAAGTAGAGAAAACAGATATTTACATCTAACCTTGGCATTTTATTATGAAAAATTGAAAAACTGACCGAGCCAAATCGGTCAGTATTGTTGGTCACGGAGCAAATCGGAAATTGCGGTATTAATCTATAATACCAATATCATTTTCATTTTTGCACATTCAATGTGTCAATTTCTTCCCTTTTTTCTATCTCGTCTCTCTCGATCTGTATCCATCTTTTCACTCTCTCTCTCTCTCTCTCTCCCTCCTTCTTCCTCTTCGCATATGTTTCCCTCTTTTCGGTCGGGTAGGCCGATGGAAGGAACTTTTGGTCATTCTTCTTTTTTGAGTGATGGAAGTGCCACCACCAAGCCACGAATTTGGCTTGGATGGAATGTGAGTGTATGTTGGATATGTCGCGCTTCTAACTTCTGATCAAACGATTGTTTAGCTGAGCAAAGAACCTTATCACAGCCTAGGTTCTTTCACTACCTTGGGTTCAAGGTTTTATGTGGGTAACCAAATGATGTGGAGTGGGTGGAGATGAAGATTGAAGGTGAAACGTAATGAAACGAAGAACAAGTGCGTAAAGTAAATGTGCTTAAACTTAAATATAATTTAAAAATAAATGCGTAAAGTAAAGTGCGTAAAATAAATAACGTAAAGACGAGAATTGAAGTGCGATAAAATAGATCAAAGCGATAAATAAACAAGAATGAAATAAGTTCGATAAGAACGGTAAACTAAATTAAACTTAAATTTAAACTTAATGAAAATTTAGTAACAATAAAAAGGAAAGTGATTGAAATAAACTTGAATTTAAATGACAAAGTAATGTAAATTGCAAGAATTTAAACTTACACTAAGGAAAGGAAGGACTTGCTACACTAGGTGCTTGAAAAGTACAATCCAAAGTCTAAGAAAAGAAAAGTGCGAGACAAAAAATAGGTTTGTGTGTCTTATGATGTGTGTCTTCTGCCTTCGTTTGGTGAAGTTTATATAGGACGTTCGTTAGCCCATGGGCTGGCCATTGAATGGCCAAATGTCAACTCTTTTAAAAAAATTTCATTTCGAGGCTCCCTAAATTCGTAGATCACGTCGGCAGAGATATTATGGTTACTTGATTTTTTCTCGTTTTGGAAAATTCCGAATCGTCATCAACCTCCTTGATTTCTTTCCTTGTGAGACCTTTGTCACGTGCACACTGACCCCCAGAAATCTTGGGTGCGAATCCGTGGTTTGGGTTTGGACCTCCGAGATTTCATCTTGACATTTGGTGGAACCTCTTGCCCTTTCAGTTTTGTGGACCCATTGTGTCAACCACCCCCGGGGCACGTGGATTGCAATATGAATATTGCCATTGAAATCAAATGGCCAAAAGATCAGTGACTAAACCCTTCATTATCTGAGTGAATTTGATGTACACCCTTCATTATCTGAGTGAATTTTATGTACGTTAACAACTTCCCATTTGTGTTTAGAGCACATGAAAAAGTAAAGAAACTCCATCAATACAAAAATTCAGAGAGTAATCAAGTTCATGTCAAGTTCGTAGTCTTCTTTTAGTAAGTAAAGCTCCACTGATTGGTTCTAGTTCTGAATCTTCTGATAATGAATCAGTGAAACGAGAAGTATTAATATTTTTCAATTTTATACAAAAGAAATCAAAGAGAAAATGAATGAATTAATAATATAAAGTAATATAGTTTATAAACTATTCTGGCCAATTTCAATATTGGATATTGCTTATCATGCTTGTTCAAATTAATAATTATTGGGTCAACTTTCTTTAGCTTCAGCATTATTAATTATATTAGAACAAGAAATGATTCAATGTGAACAAGTCATTAGTCTCCCTATTGAAATTGGATGGCCACAGTTGTTATATTTGTCTCATGTATTCTCTGGCAATGGGTCATACATATTTTAATGAATAAATTCTTTTTATTTATATTTTATCCATTATCACAAAAGAATTAGTTGGGTTGGATTAATAAAGGGAAATATACTAACAATATAAAATCTCATATCACCAAACTTATAACATGGAAACATTAGCAAATTAAACTTACCTCGAGACCTCTTGTTGTGTCAAAATCCATACCTCGAGACTTCTTGTTGTAAAATTAACCAGAACCATCAACATGTCGGAACGATTTGTTGGCGATAATAATATCAATACATTAGCGATAACATATTGACAATCATGTAATTATTAAAGTTCAGACATCATGTACAGAGCCGGACTATAATACATTGCCTTAAATGCATGCTATTGGAATAAAAAGATGTATCCAATTAAACTGGTGAACGGACATATCAGGGAAGCCCCTCCTCACTTATACAGGTCTGAAGCAGGGAAGAAAAGCATTTTGAGCCGCTTGGTCCTCCCACTCTAAGCTATTCCACCACTTTTCCTCTCCTTCAATAATGAGATTACTTGTTTGAGCACTGCTAGAGTTGAGAGGCAGCCTAGTGAGCACTGGACATCCATATATAAGGATTTTCTTCAGAAATGGAACGGGCAAGGGATTTTCACATATTCTCCACAAGTGGGGTAGTCTGCTCAAACACAAAACAGTGAGTTTTGCAAATGGGGTAGTTTTCGTTGTGTTCAAACCGAGTATTCTCGTCATTTTACAGCAGCGATATACATGCAAGCGGATGAGATTTGGAGCAAAAACGAGCCATTCTAGGTTCTTGAGATTCGTGCAATTTACTACTACTATGAACTGAAGACCAAGGAAGCAATCCGGATTTTCCAGACTTGTTATCCACGTAAAGTACACATCCACCATATGTTTAATTTGAAGGGTATCAAGGTATTTCATATTTGCCATCGCCACATCTGATAAATCAAAATAGCTTGAAGGGTTCACGTAATCCTCGCCATTGAGGCATAAAGTTAGAGTGCAAGTCACTAATATGTGGTGGCTGTCCAAATTCAGGAAACAAGAGGTATCTCCTACTGTCAAAGACAAGACGTCAAGGTGTTTCAAACCCTGCAGTTCGTCTATCATGGTTTTTTCATTATAAAAAAAAACTTGGTTAGAAGAACCACAATCTAGTATTCTCAAAACTTTAAGCAGCGGGAAATTTGATAATACATTTGGTGGAACATAATCAAGCAGAAGTGTATGCTCTAAGTTCAAATACTTTAGGCGTGCACATGCTGCTAACTCCACTGGCAACCATTTTATGCCTGTATAGGACAAATTCAGATGTTGTAATGAAACTAGATTTGCAACTCTAGTTGGCAGTTGAGTTATAAAGACATTTTGAGACAAATCCAGAACTCGTAGCGTAGGCATGAAATCAAAGAAGTCATTCACAATCCTCTCTAAAAAAGTTCCTCTGAGAAATAAGGTCAACAGATTGGGAGATCTTGGTGTTTCATCTAGAGATTTGATACTACTACCCATCAATGAAACCCTTTTCACGTTCTTCCATTTCGCAACATTTGGTGCATGATAAGCACCTGTATCCACAAGGATGCTCTCGCCTTCTTTCCCAAGGTCACAAGCTAACCACAATGCCATGTCACGAATTACATCATGCATTTTTACTGAATCTCCTTCATCTTCCAACAAACATGAGGCAAGAAGAGTTCCTATGATATGGTAGCTCTCATTTTTGGCTTCCTCTACATTACCATATTCATCTAATATATCCTCACACATCCAAAAATATACCAGGTCATCTTTAAGTATAACAAAATCTTCCGGAAACAGAGCACAGTATAAGAAACATGATCTAACTTTCTGACTTGGTAAATTATCGTAACTGAATTTTAAAAGAGGGAATACCTTATCTCCCATTCCTGAAAACCCGGAAGCAAGTCTTCTCAGGACTTGAACTGCATGCTTCCACTCTTGGGGTGTTTTCTTGCAGGCCATGACCCTGCCTACTGTGATGAGTGCCAGTGGCAAACCACCACACTCCTTCGCCACAATTTCAGCATGCTCGGGGATATCTGGATGAAGAAGAAGTGTTTCTTTCCCAACCTTCTCTTTTGAAACAAGTTCCATGCTTTGTCCCAAGTCAAACACCCCACCTTAATCTTCTTCTGGGCATCCATATGACCACATACCTCCTCAGAGCGAGTTGTGAAAACTATCTTGAACTTGTTCCGACTGTCAGGAGCTGGAACCCCTACTTTGGTTAATTCAACCGGCTCCCATAAATCATCCATAAGTAACACAAACTTCTTTGTGTTCAAGATTCTAAAGATGTCTTCAGCTTTTTCATGCTGCTCTTTACGCTTCCATACACCACTAAGCAGCCCAATCTTTTCACCAATCTTATCTTGAACAACTTCAATTTTGTGGCCCTTGGATACCACAATCCAGATCACAAGATTGAAATCATTACGAGCGCGGTTGAAGTTGTTATGGATCTGGGTAAGGAGGGTGGTCTTCCCCACCCCTCCCATTCCATATAAGCCAATCATTCCCACTTGTTCATCTTCAATGTGTCTCCAAACCTGATTAAAAATCAGCTCCATGCCCACTGTTGGCTCACTAGGTCTCACATCGACTAGAGTTGTAGGTAAGCTTTCTGCTACCACCTCTTCAAAAACTCCCTTGCTTTTCAAAGCCTCCACTTCCACCAACTTTCTAGCAACTTTTTTTCCATACTTGTAGCTGGATCTGTAGTTCTTGGGGCAGTAACCTCCGCAGCATAATTTCTCAATTTCTTGAGTGCTATGGCTTTCAATAACTTCGTTCATTTCAGTCTCAAGAGCCTCCACGCTTAAAATCCAGTTATTTACCCGCTCTAACCGCCTTAATCGCGGCTGTCGCTCTGCAAGCTCAACCTCTCTCTGCACATCATTCTTTAAAGACTTGAGTTCTTGTAAAGAAGTTGAGAGAGCTTGAAGGTTTTCTTGGAGCTTACGTACATACGGTTCTCTTTCAAAAACGGAATCCCAGCAGCGTGAAACAATCGCATCGCATGATAAGGAGATTGACAAGACGCTACCCATTGCTTTGCTTGCTCTGCGCACAAGATTGTAAGAGATTCACCAATGATTTCTTAATCTTTATAACAATAATGTCACTTACAGGAAGACTTTACAGGTTGTAAAGTCAACTATGGCATTTAGAAGGTGACGCGTGAGCTTTTGTATTGTGTGGCTGCAGTGTAGCTGCAGTTTATGGCGAGAGAGTTACCAGAATAATTAAATACATCCAAAATACATATAAAATTGTCAATGTGAATTTAGAGAGAGAGAGAGAGAGAGGGGTATATATATATATATATATATATATATATATATATATATATATATATATATATATATATATATATATATATATATATATATAT